TATATTATGGTGGGGGAGTGGCTGGAAACCGTGACACATGAGGAAAAGTTGAGGAAATAGAGGATTTTTATCCTGGGGAAGAAATAACATTGGGAAGACCTGACATTTCCCAACATATTAATGATTATTACCTGAGAAACTTACCTTTGTATAATTTGAAGTGACAGGACTGGAAGTAGTTGCAAAAGTTAAGCAGATTTTCCCTGAATAAAAGGAAGGACTTAAAAGAGAAGTTGAAAGATAAAATGTGCAGCCTCAGGAAATAGCGAGTCCCCTGTCACTGGCTGTGCTCAAACGCAGGTGGCTGAACATGTGGCAGGACAATGAAGAGGGGGTCGAATCCTGGCCTGGAGGGTAGAACTATGTAAAGATCCCTTTCAATCTTGATTCTGTGGTTCATGACTCCAAGTTTATTTAAAGAGAGCAAGAGTCTACTAAAAAAGGTGAAGGGACGGCATTTTTGCAAAGTGGATCCTGAGTTGGTTCTTGGCTTCAAGCTCAGGAGACCACCCAATCACCATTCATCAACCATCTCGGGACAGGATCTATTCCCTATAGGGGCCGGCCTGTGGCTCACTCGGGAGAGTGTGGTGCTAACACCTGGGCCATGGGTTCGGATTCCTATATAGGGATGGCCGGTTAGCTCACTTGGGAGAGCATGGTGCTGACAACACCAAGTCAAGGGTTAAGATTCCCTTACTGGTCATCTTTTAAAAATAATAATAAAAAAAATCCGTTCCTTACAACTTGCCACCTCTGGTCTCAATTTTGCCTCGAGGGCCACAAAGATCAAGGCTGGCTTCTCTTTCAAACCACAGTTTTTCAAAGATGGTGAGCAGTAACTCCATACTCTCCTACCAGGTCTCATCTTTTCTTGGGTAGAATTGCTCGTTCCCAGCCTGTCATTGAAGTCCTAGCTCCTACTCCAGCCAGTGTCTTTTACATTAAGCCAGACTGCATTTATGGTGCATGTTTTAATAGGCATAATCTCATTAATTTGAAATGAACTACATTGGGCTGAGTTTATCTTTGCACCAACTAAGAGTTTGCTAAGCATATTTATTGTCTTAAGATTGCAAAGCAATGTTTAAGCTTCTTATGAGAAGTAACTGTTTTCAAATACCCTTAAGCTCTGTAGAGAAATTACTAGGTCAGTTACAAATCCACCCTACCTCTTCACTAAACAATGACTAAAGGACCATCTCCAGGCAATTTTATCAGTAGCTTCTAGTTTGCTATTCAAATCTGAATAAATCTCCCTTCTTAAATGTATTTCCTGAGAGCTTTCACTCCCAGGAACATGGGGTAGGCAAGGGTCGGTAAGTGGTGGGGAGTATGTGTGTGTGTGATTGGGAAGGGGGCGGCTTGGGGAAGGAAATGGGTTTGGTGATGGGATACAGAGAACACCAACTGGAATTTCTCCTTGCCCGGCAGGTTACCTAAACATGAGCACTGAGCTGGGAGTACTTAAGACATATGGAGTGGAGGCGTGGGTGCTGAACTGGAGAATCCATACCCTCCCAAGCCATTTATACATTTGCAAAGGGAGCTGGATTTGATTAGCAGATAGCCATTTTATGATGATTTGCTTAAATGCTAAATTACAGCAATGCATAGGAGAGGCATGACTGGTTGAGCTCATTCAAAATTCAGGGTTGTGCTAACAAGATAAAAAAAAAAATGTGTGCAGATCAGCCCATTTAAAAGAACACAGTAGTTTGGGTAAGGAAAAGGAATTATAGATGCACCAACAGAACATATGGTAAGATCCCTGAAGGGGAATGCATTGATCTAAAGGTACAGAATAAGATACAGAGTAAGGGCTTAGGGCATTTTGTCTGGGAGATCGTTCAGATTGAAAATGGATCATGAAAGGTACAAATTGAAGGATAAAATGAGCTGCATATGTTTAAAGGCGGGGCTGTGCCAGACAGAGGAGCTGTTTCAGAGGAATAATGAGATGTGCTCATTTAGAGTAAGTAATGGAAGGAAACTTGAGAGATGCATGTTCACAGTACTGAAGGCAAATGCGACTGAAAGGGTATAATGAGAGGTGGAATGAGAGAAGGGGAGGGAGGAAAGCTCTCTCGGGTCCCAGGTGTGATGACTCAGATGAACAGTGGCAAGAGGGGAGATGTTCGATTTGAAAGGACAGATGACTGGAAGGGCATAATCTGTCAAGGACTCAGGGGAGCACAATGCTGGCAGGCCTGGGGAGCACGGGGGATCTGCGAAGAGGGGAGCAATAAAGGGGACCGTGGCACTAGGGGAAAACCCCGCTAGGCTATAATTTTCTTCTCAGAAAAGACAGTCAATGTCTTCAAGTCTTTGAGCTACAACTTACACGAAGGATATGAGGGTAAGCAGCCCTTTTCCCTCTCTCCTTTTCTTCTCTCTGGACAGTAGCAGAAAGAGCAGACTCGTGTGCAGCATGGGCATTTAGGTAAAGATTTCTTAACCATGTGGGCCAGATACGAGAGCAGCTGTGGAATCTGCTTGTCTAGTAACTTTGAGGTTTGACAGGTTCTTGGACATTGGGGTGAGTAGGCTGGGCTGAACCTGGAAGTGGGTGATTGAATTCAACCCTCCCAGCCTGGAGTCAAGTCTCCTGGTCTCTGCAGCCCCAGTGTGGCCACCCACTGAGGTCCTGGCTTAGGGGTTCAACTGCCACCCCAGGCCCTGCTTTCCTCCGCAGCATTACCATCCAAATTGTCATCCCGAGGTCACCAAGCTCACCCTTTGCTAACCTGGTAACTAGTCTTGCACAATTAATGGTGGTAAAAGAATTCCAGCCCCATGTAGGCAGGACAGGAATTTAAAATAAAGTGGCCTAATGTCTCACGCAAAGGGTGAGGAAAAGGAATTACAGACGCATCAACAGAACATATAATGAGATCCTTCACCTTTCTAGGAAAAAGGAACTTTTTAAAAAAAATCTAACTGAATTCTCTAGCTGCAATTTAAGCCTGTTTCCCCCCTGCAAGGTGTTCTGTGATCAGCTGACCTGCGAAAATAATTCTCAGGTATCTGGACGTGGGTAAGTGCCTCGCACCTCAGTGTCTATTTCTTTCAATACTAATGGCTTTGGCTGTCCTCCTGTTAACCCTGTCCTTCTAAGGCCCTGCTTCTCAAGCATCACCTGGTAGAAAATCTCAAGCTTGTAGAAAATTTCAATACTAGGTCTTTACCCTACCCCTGCTAAATCACACATCCTGAGGGTGCAGCCAAGTGACTTGTGTTTTAATAAACTCTCCAGGTGATTCTGATGCAAGTTCAAGCTTGAGAGTCACAGTCCTAAAATAGGTAGTAAAGGGTTAAAAGCACCTGACCAGCATTAAGCAGACTGGACTCATTTCAACTCTTCCATCCCACTCTATTAAATACATCAGGACTCGGGCCGAGCCCATGGCGCACTCGGGAGAGTGCAGCGCTGGGAGCGCAGCAGCGCTCCCGCCGCATAGGATCCTATATAGGGATGGCCGGTGCCCTCACTGGCTGAGCGTGGTGTGGCTGGTCTCAAAAAAGGACAAAAAAAAAAGACAAAAAAAACCACAAAACATCAGGACTCTCTCCTGGAAAAACAACATAAAAACCTTAACGTATTGGAGATGGAGGACAAAGGGAGACATGTTATTGAGCATCTACAATCTGCCAGTCACTGGGTTTACACATATGGTTGCATTTAGTCCTTAATATATGAGGCGGTTACTGTTTCAGTGGATGAGAAACCATGCTCAGAGAAATTAGGTAATTTACCTAAGGCCACAGATGCTGCGTAACAAACTCAATTTGAGCCCTGGTCTAAGGCAAACGTCTTTTTCATCAAAATATGATTCCTATGAATGGGTCATTAGTGGCAAAATTCGTATGTGGAAAAGATATCCAACATTATTGTCACATTGTAATTCTTCTTAAATTACACAGTTCATATTTAACAAAGCCTCGTATGCACTGGTAGTGTAGCTCTGACCAGGGTGTGCCATCTTGTGCTCTAATCTCAATTTCGTTCATTCTGGGGAAGCAGCATCTGATAGTTTTACTGGAACATCACACGGTGACATTGGAACCTGGGTTCAGGTCATTGTTTTACATTTAACTAGAGGCAAATTGCTTGAGTTTACTGGGCCTGTTTCCTTTTCCCTCAGACTATCACTTTCATCCCCGTCTAAGGAGTTAGTAACCCAAGCCAGCTCATCACCTGCAGTAGATTTGGACCATTACCAACTGGCCTCTCCAGCCAGCTCATGGAGAAGATCCTCCATCACCACAGGCCAACAGCACCTTCCCCCAGGAACTCCAAACCCACGTGCCGAGTCCATCAGAAATCATGTATAAACTCTCCAAACCACGTAACCATTATGTTCTAAACAGACCTCTTCAGTTTGTTAATCAGAGTATCTTGTGGCATCCAATCTAGTCTTGTAACTCTAGAATTTGTGAAATTGTTGAGCCAAATAAGATAGAAACTCTACTGTCAGCTCTCAATTAGCTGCACCACTGGCAAGGAACAGTGATGTGGTGGATTAAAAAACATTGGTTCTGGTTGGCTTTGGAATGCACTGGTTTTTTTTTTTTTTTCCAGTAGAATAATTTTTCTAATTATATTTTGCACAGTCTAATATTAACAGTCATTTGTATTCCCCAAGCACACAACGTCTAACATTGAGAGCTGGGAGATGCAGTAGGCAGTCCAAAAATGTGCTGGTCTCAGGCAATGAAAATGTCGTCATGGAAAATCCACACATGGATAACGAAGAGGAAACTAATTATAAAGTGCTCAGCAAATATTAAATCATAAGCAGAGAAGGCAAAATAGGAATTCTCTGTGGATATGTGGACAGAGAGTAAAAAAGCTTATTAAAATTCTAAAAAGGACAGAAACTTCCAAGAATCATCTTTAGTGTTAATGGAGTTTGTTAAAAAACTAGGCTGCAAGGAGGGACAATGAGGTACTGGGTGGTCTTTCAAATAAGAAAACCTCAAGCAATAATACCAAAGCGTTTTAAAAGAGCGTTTAAAATGAATTTTATTGTTTGAATTTTACAAGTAGTCTTTAGAGGCTTCAAACAAGAACTCTGTTGCAAAACTCTAATAAATAGCTTGCCCCAAGTCCCCAAACAAAATGTAAAACAAAATTAAAACTAAACTCAGAAGGATAAGCAAGACTTCAGAATGCTTGGATGTTAGCAGTATTTCTCATTTACAAAGAGATATCAGGCAATGTACAATCTCCTTCATACAGTCAGAGAAAGAGACAGACAATTGAAATCTTTATGAGGAACTCCGAAATCTTCCTATTTCCATGACAGAAATGTCACCAGCAAAAAAAATCCCATGGAGAAATCACAATCGTGAATACAACTGTAGCATTAAAATCTGGTGGGTTGGCGAAGAAAGGGAAGTCCACCCTGGTTCAGGGGTGGAGAGTGGAAAGAGTTGAGATTACTTGGGGCAGGGAACTTCCGAGCAGATGCCACTAGACTGCTAAACATTCCCTCAGACCAGAGTCACCACTGAAGGGACAGAGGAATCAATTTGGTAACAATTATGAAGGCAAGAAACAAGGGGGTGTCCTCAGGTCTGTCAACACTGATGGGCCTGTGCTCTGCAGTAGTGAGGGTCTTGGGACAATGGCCCAGGGCCCCAAAGCAGCCTGCCTCACTAGACAGGAAAAATAGCACATCAATAATTTCTGCAGCAGAATCCTTTGGATGGTCACGAGCAGATGCAGAAAGTGCCGTGCTTAAATGTCACACCGGGACATGCAGATTTCAAAAGCCCATTCTATTATCACAGTCATTGCTCCTAACAAGCAGGGATTAAAACTCACAATTTAACATTCACTGTTAGCTTTTCCTAGTTACAAATACTGGTGAAGTCTTGCTTTGGAGAGGATTTATTAATTTATTAATAGTCATTTTGCACAAGCTAAACAATTTTGTCACATTTTTTTATCTTTAAATATCTCAGACAAAAACTATATATACTTTTGACGAAAATGCATACAGAAAATAAGGTTTTAGTTTGGGGGATCCTGAAACCAATTAACATTTAGAGCCAGGAACCTGTGGAGAGGTTGATTCCAATTCAGTGGGGCTCACTTCAGCCAAACAAAAAGGAGCGCTGACTCTGAGGAGCGCACTTGGGACGTCTCCCTGGGGAAGAAGAGGATAGGAAGTGACGTCACAATGCAGGATTGAGAGGGGCGTGGCCCACAGGCCTGCCAATGCCTCTGGCTTACAGCTCGCTGCTGTTAAATGAACCCCAATCCTGCTGGTCTCTGGAAGACAGATGCAAACAGCCTGGCTCATGCCCGGGTCACTCAAGAGAGGCAGGCGTTTTCTGACAGCACCTTCCTCTCCAGGCATTTTAGGAAAGAAGGTAAGGAAATATCCCTCCCCACTCCCCAGATAAACAAGTTAAAAAAAAAAACCCTTTATTTTCCTAGGAACAATGACATTTGTCAGGCAAATGAGGGAAAGCTTGGGTTACCTGAAATAGATAAGAAAGCTGATGGAAATAGAGGCAGATGGGCCAGTGGGCACCCTGGTCCCAGGCCCAGTTTCTTTTTAAATACATAACAGATAAAGATATTGTGCAAAAAAATAGACATTCACATTTTAGCAGTTAAACTTTTATTTTTCTTTTTAAAATTTTTATGTTTTTGTTTTTCTTTTCTACAAAAGGCAGATGATGATTGTTGATCTGCAATTGTGTTGTGCACTCCCCAAGAGGGGGCAGAGTGGAAGCTGGGAAGGTGCTCTGAGACCGCTTTCAATGGCATGAGGAGGGGCTTCTGCGCGTTCACAAGAGCGAGCATCCCTGGGTCCCTCCTCCTTCCCACCTCCAGCTTTCCTAGCTCAAGTCTATGGTGTTGAAGACCCATTCCGTGAACTTCTTCAGCTTGTCAGAGGCATTCTGGGACTCCTCCTGCAGCCTCAGGTTGTCTTCTCGCAAGTGCTGAACTTCTGCCTGAAGGTGGGCTTTGTCTTCTTTTTCCTGGGAGGTAGAGCAAAGTAGAAAAGAACTAAGAGGTGTGGCCCCACCTCGCCCAGCTCTTAGAAGTAGTTATGGGTCCTTCACCTATTTCCACACTTCGTCCCACTGAACACCTGCATACACGGCCTGGCACTGGGCGCTAAGACACTCTGAGCCCAGAGAACAGGGCTCTCAGAGACACTCAACACTATGGACTAGCTTGGAATGTAAATACACTAATGTGTATTTTAGAGTCTTTGTTAATATGATTGTCTTAAATTTTAGGCAATTGTTTTGGTAGCTGCTGTCTTGATATAGTCAAAGCCGCCCAAGAAACAAAATATTCAGTTCTCTTGGTGCAAGAGCTTGAATAACATCAACTACATGGGGGTCTGGGCTATTGCCACATTATACAAGGGGGAGAGGGCCCAGAGAGGGCTGGCTGAGGTTCAAAAGCTTTCACAAAAATGGGACCAGTTTTTCTACACGTGACAACAAAGGCCTTCTCGCCCTGTGTGTGCCAGTGGGAGTTGAGCTGCACACCCCTGAACACGTGTGTACACAGGGAAAACACCCACAGCTTATCCCACTAAAACTACTTAAAAAACGGTCCTCACAGTTCAAGGGCAGTTTGTACAGACTGTGCAATTTGCTTTGAGGATATGTATTTACCTTCTTCAAATCTTCCCGAAGCATCTTCAGCATACCTTCCAGCTGGTCCACTTTAGAAGCCAGAGTGGGAGAGGAATCTTTACTGCTGGGAACAAGAAACAAAAGACCATGTTGGCAGGAGCCTCCATGGCTGGGTTTGTTTGTGTTTTTTATTTTTATCTGAGCAGGCTGTATTTGTAAGATGTTTTTCAATGTCGAATTACTCAGTATGATGATCCAATGTGCATTTTTACTTTAAAAAAAATAATTTTAACAAAAGGTGATACTAGCTTGAACTACAGCCAATCAATAGCTTCCTTTGTTAAAGATGCTTCATCTTCACAACAAATAAAGGACAATAAGTGAAAACGGTCTCTTTGGCAGTATAAGAGGTACTTTCTGGCAGACATAATTGTCAAACAGTAAAGTGATTCCTCAGGGATGCTTTGGTATCCCTTTAGTGGACTTTAAAAGAGAACTACTCCTCTGTGTGTGTGTGTACAGGGGGTGCTGATGTAGGATCTGCATTCTGGTTCCCAAGAAAACAGTCTGTAGCCACTCATGCAGCTGCAGCTAAATTATCATGCTCTCATCTTAAATGCTAGTCTACATATCTCAAAATATTAAAATAAGACTACATGTTTTAAAAGCTTGTTAGTCTCAGCTTAATGTCTTAAATTCTGTGCTGTCATGATCAGCAATTTTCTCATATTTCACTTAAGTACCAATAATGCCAGCTAGTGGAATACCCAAAGCATCATGAGCTGAAGGACGAAAGGCCACCCAGCTAGCCAGCTGACATGGCTGGAGATGATCCTACCCCCGACCCCAGAGCTGAGGACCACTGTCAACTTTTCTTCCCCCACTCTCCTCTACCAGAATTCAAGCTGCCAAAAGTGTCCTGAGCGGGTTCTAGCCAAGGTGCACAACCTCAGAGTGACGCAACAGACAGCCTAAGGTCTTGTGCTGGGAAAAGGTGCAGCTGCCTCTTTCCAGAAGCCAAAGGGGCAGAGGTAGTGACTCTGAATTTTCTGAACTATGAAATAAAAGATATTCTTTACTTTAAAAATTGAAGTTCAAGTTTGACCGTGTGTTCTGCTAATTCTAAGACCACGACAGGCCCAAAAAGCAAAATCCACAGTGGCCTGGAATGTAGCAAGACTGCAGACCCACGGAATGATAAAGACCTCCCAATTTCTAAGACAGAACAACCAATTAAAGGTTGGGCTTTAAAAGGGAGTGGTCAGCTGCAAGCCACAACTGCACAATACAAACAAAAGGAAAGAGCCAGGCATCACCCTCATCTTTTAATAATCCTTTCTCAGGAAACAGTTCGGCTCACTCAGTTTTCGTTCACTCTTTATTGGAGGCCCCGTTCTAAGAAGGCAGCTTTCGGACTCTCCTCCAACTCTGAGATATTTTTTAAATTTTTATTTATTTAATTTTTTCCCCCCTTTTTTTTGTCTTTTTTATTTTATTTTATTTTATTTTATTATTATTTTTTTTTTCGTGACTGGCAACGGATCGCAACCCTCAGTGTCGCGCCCGTACCGGACCGGGACTGGCAACGGGATCGCAACCCTCGGTGCTGCACCCGCTCCTCGCTCAGCCAGTGAGCAGCCGGTCTGTACGTGGGATCCGAACCCTTGGCGGGAGCGCCGCCGCGCTCCCAAGCGGCGCACTGTAGCAGTGC